TGTGCTGAGAGCGGAGAGCCCGATGCAGGCCTCAGACTCACAAACTGTGAGATCATGACCTGAGCTGAAGTCAGAGGCTTAAGTGACTGAGCCACCCAGGAGCCCCTGTTTCTAATTTTTAAACTTTCCTATGGTGCTTCATGGCTACACCAATTTACACTCCCATGGTAACAGTGCACAGAGGTTCCCATTTTTCCATATCCTCCCCAAACTTGTTATTTATCTTTTTAATAAAAGCCATTTTAACAGGTGTAAGGTGATACCTCATTGTGGTTTTGATTTGCATTTCCCTGATGATTAGTGATGTTGAGCACATTTTCATGTACCTGCTGGCCATCTGTGTATCCTCTTTGGAAGAGTGTTTTTTCAGATCCTCTAACCATTTATTTACGCTTATTTATTTATTTTGAGAGAGAGAGAGATAGAGCATGTGAGTGGGGGAGGGGCAGAGAGAGTCGGAGAGAATTCCAAGCAGGCCCCACACTGTCAGTGCAGGGCCTGATTCAGGGCTCGAACTCACAAACCTTTTCTGAGATCATGACCTGATCGTGATGAGATCATGACCTGAGCAGAAACCAAGAGCCAGATGCTTAACTGACTGAGCCACCCAGGCACCCCAGACACTCTGACCATTTTTTCATTGATTTTTTTTTTTCTTTTTGCTTTTGAATTGTAGGAGCTCTTTATATTTTTTTGGATATTAACCCCATATCAAATATATATGATTTGCAAATATTTTCTCCCATTACATAGGTTGCCTGTTCACGTTGATGGTGTCCTTTGCTTACAGAACCTTTTTAGTTTGATGGAGTCTTACTTGTTTATTTTTGCTTTTCTTGCTTTTGCTTTTGGTATCAAATCCAAAAAGTCATCATCAAGACCAACATCAAGGAGCTTACTCCCTGTTTCTTCTAGGACATTTATGATGTCAGGTCTTAATACTCAAGCCTTTAATCCCTTTGTGTTGATTTTTGTGTGTAATGCAAGATAAGGATTCACCTTCATTCTTTTGTGTGTGGCTGTCCAGTTTTCCCAGTATCACGTATTGAAGAGATCATCCTTTCTCCACTGTATATTCTTGGCTCTTTGCCCTAAGTGAATTGACTATGAACACGGGTTTCATTTCTTTTCATTTATGTATCTGTAAAAGTACTATATTTTTGCGTCATTTTAAAGTAAAAGTTCTAGAATATTTTCCATTGGAATGAGCTAAGAATTTGATTTTGTGGTATTTTTTTCCATTCCTTGCTAAATTTACAGCAACTCCCAGACACTGGGATTGCGAGGAATTTTCTTACATGATGAAAAGAAAGGTTGTGTATTAGGAGACTTATGTTTTAGTAAATTATTTTGAAGGTTTAAGAAAAAGATCTAAATGTCATCCTTTAAAACTGAGCATTTTACAGGTGTTTCTGTTTTCCCATCTTTATACTGTTTATACTTCTTATGAATTCCAGTAATACAGTTGGAGAATGGCACCATTGGTCCATTCGGGTCAACAACTTTTTTAGGAAATTCCAGTCTTACCAAGTCATTTTTCCCTCTACAAGAGAAATATTTGCATTAATATTTCAAGAGTAGTGGATACTTGTAGCATTTTGCTATTTGGTCCCTGGTATTGGTAGCCTTTGTATTTCCCATCCAGAGTGCCAGCCCAGCAAGCAACAGAAATCTCCACTTCTGGGACACTTGGGCAAATATACATTTATTGTATCTTTTACTGAAATTGCCATTTCCTTTCTCTTGAAATTAGCACACTCTAGCTAGCTTCTTCCTGAGGGCTGGTGAAGAAACACGTACTTCTGAACCACCCAGGATTAAACAATTCCCTCTGTCTCTCCCCCCACCCCGCTTGTCCCCTCACGCGCTCACATGCTCACACACACCCTCCCTGGGGTCTGGCTTGTCTAACGCCAAATTTGCCTCCCAAGGCAAAGGTAAGCATCTCCTCCTTGTCTTTGGCCAAAGTGAAGGAGAAATGATTGAGAAATCCCTCCCCAGACTGGTGCTTCCCACTCCCCGCCCCGTGCCCCGTCCCCCGCGCGGGTCCAGGACTCTTCCCGGGCACTCCACCCCCTACTGTCCTCTCCCCTGTATCTCTAAACCTAGGAGCAGTCTGGGCACCAAAGTCCCCGCCCCCTCTCGCGGCCAAGAGCAATTCTTAACCTTTTTTGGGCCGGGGACCCACAAAACACGGTGGACCCTCTCCGGATGGGGGCAGAGATTGGGGGCGGGGGGCGCGGAAAGGGCTTGAAAGCTTTGCAAAACTTTCGAAAGGACGGGGATCTGAAGCCCACCCCCAACTGCCAGATTAAGAACCCCTGAATCTTAAGAATCTCTGAAACTGTTGACTTAGGGCGATTAAACCGAGAGTGGAGCTCAGATGCCACATTTAGTCCCTAGTGAGAGACTGTAGGAGGGCCGGGCGCTCCTGCTCGCGGCCACTTTCACTTGTAAGAAACCCAAAGAATGGGCTAGATGGGGGACAGAAATTCCCAAGGAGGGGACGAGAGAAGAGGGAGACGGCTGTTGTAAAGACACGGA